GAAGGAAAAACCAAATGCACATTCGCAGGCGTGTCATGCAGCTGCAGTTCGGTGAAAACGATTAGAGGAAAAGCAGGGTGGGATTAAAAATAAAACCACAAATTTAGGTATAAGAACATGCTTATAAAAATGTATAAAAAATATGCATTCATCTCCTCTTGTACGTCTCCTCAATAGTTTTATACATTTTTATAAGCATGTTCTTATACCTAAATTTGTGGTTTTATTTTTAATCCCACCCTGCTTTTCCTCTAATCGTTTTCACCGAACTGCAGCTGCATGACACGCCTGCGAATGTGCATTTGGTTTTTCCTTCTTTAGGAAATTTATTATTAGGGAAAGTTACTTAGCTGAAATTAACTGGATTTGGGATTTTCGTAACAATATATTATTTTATATTATATATTATCTTACTTTATATATTATTTTATATATTATTTAACATATTATTTTATATTATATATTTATTTATATTGTATTATATTTATTTATTTATTTATTGTAAAAAAAATTTGCCCGGGGGTTTATTTATTATTATTGCTGTTATATATATGTACATTATTATAAATATATTTATAGGTTTATGCTAAGTTTAACAATTGCAGATGACGGCAGACATTCAAAACAATTGGCGACGCGCCCATCGTTACCTCAACGTGATGCGGAAAACCATGATAAGACTTTTAGATAAGGTGAGTGGTAATATACTTAATATTACATATTCGTATTCACACGTTATCTCAATTTTCATTTTAAATGTCAGAATGTGGAAAAAGAAGCACAATTTGTTTTACCAAAGAACCTATAAATCGGTAACGGTTTTATATATATATATATATATATATATATATATTTATATATCTTTTTGTATATTTATTATATATTTATTTATTTTTATTTTACTTTAGCGTACATGGTGTTGTGTTAACGCATAAGAGACGTGTGCGCGAAGGTGTACTCTGAGAGATAAGATAAGATACGGGTTGAACCTACCAGTAATGATTTATATTATTATATAATACTGTACTATTCCTTAAAGCGGAGATAGAATAACGTATCACATTAAAAAGCGAGACGAAAACATCATCTTTGCAATCATGACATCAAGCAATCTTTGTTTCAAAGTAACGCTAATGATATTTTTGACGCGCAATTGCGCAATGGTGTTATCTCAATAAATAAGTAACTGCACAATGCCCAATTACAGACGATCAAAACCACATCAATCTAATAAGGGTAAATCTTCTCTGAGGGTTTTACGTAGATTGAAGAACATACACTCTTTATTTCATCTCTAATGAATGTAATGAATGCCTAACACTATGGTGGTGATTAGAAAAAACTTATGTAACTAATGTTCACCTTCTAAAATTTTGTCGTCTTTTGAACGGACCTATAGGGGGATTTGACTTTTCTCCAACTTTAGATTGTTGCCCGTATTTCCAGCCGATCAAAACGATTTATTCTCCCAATTCAAAAATGCGTTTGCCGACGCACCTAGCATATTTTAGAAAATACATGATTTGTTAAAAAATATCGAATAAGCCAACTTTTCAAGTTTCTTTGTCTGCAAAAACGTTTGGAACAGGCACTACATATAAACATTTTTACTAGGGATTTTCTCAGACCAGTTTATATGGCTTAATTAATTAATGTCATTATATTGAAACGAAGAAAATAAGATTGACCAACACGAATATGTTGTGATAGAATTGCTTGTTGTTTGATATCCAAATATATTTTATTAAATAAAACGAATTTTGTCCACTTCTTCTTGGAAATTCAAATAAAATTTGTGAAAACCTTATTGTATAGTACAGCAAGCAGGTAATTGGAACTTGGATCACGGCAGCTGATGTTGCTTTGTGGCACTAAGCTATTTATTTTAACTCAGTAGTAAGAATAGGAAAATTGAGGTTGTGCAAAAGTAATGTAAATCGGCTCACATTAGAGGAAGTAGAGGAAATGTCTAATTGAAGCTGAAAAGTATTCCGGTAAGAATTATGCACGCGAGGAAAATCGAGGCGGAAAGGAACTGGATGCTTGGATGGATATTGATATTATATACGGGCGTCAACTGATTATCAACTAAGCGCTCAGACTCGTGACGTTTTTCAATGATTGCAAGATTATCAGAATATGCTAAGGAAGAAGGCAAAATTTCAGTACTTTGTTGTTAATTGCTTGTGAATATCCACAAAAAGGCAGAATGTGTATGGGAGATATTAGAAAAAGAATTAGAAAAAATAAAAAAAGCCTCGCAGCTGAAATTAGCCATACAGAAAGCCGCCTTGGAATACAATAAACAGAATAAAGATTCTAAAATTAAGCATGCAGCTCGAAAGGAAACGCTGGCTAAAGAGAACGGTACTAGTGTTCAGGAGCACAGTGTTGAAAGCAATGCGAAAAGACAACGTTTGATGCTTAAAAACGTCATGGAATTCAATTTTACTTATACGATCAAACTAGAATTGAATCAACAGATGACATCCCTTGGCAAGCAATAGCAAAAAGGATGACGATGGAGGCATTAACGCAACCTCGCGGGGGGCTCAATTATTGTGCTAAAGACGTTCCTATTTGTTTGGCAACAAGTTCAGCCGAAGATATGGTTCATAAAATTGCCAATCATCGCGAGGTGTTTAGTTTACTTAGTCATCGTGTTTGTGCTTCCACCGATCCGGAAGTGAGGGAGGGTAAACCAGCTCCCGACATATTCCTAATTGCTGCATCACGTTTTCCCGGCAAACCGAAGCCACAGCAATGCTTAGTTTTCGAGGATTCACCGAACGGGATAATAGTGGCTTTTAAGGCTTCCATGCAAATGGTAATGATGCTCGATGAACGAGTTTCAGTTGAATAGAGTTACTTAGCCACACTACATTAAAATCACTACTTGGTTTCAAACCAGAAATGTTTGGTTTACCGCCTTTCGCCAATTAATCATAGCAAAGAGAATTTCTAAAAAACTACAAGTGCTTTGTCATGAGTACCTTTTCTTATCACCTATCACTCTAAATGAATTTCTTTAGAACAATAAAAAGCTGAGCTTATACGTAGCAATAAGAGAACTTTTTCGCATTAATATTTTCATTTCTTACATATTTTGATTTTTTTTTGTTTGTTTTATTACTATGTAAGAGAAAGATACACGAATCCATTAATTCGCAGACTCTCAAATCACCTTACGATCTCATCCCAGAAAAGCCACGACTTAATTCACGACTTGAGGTAAGCAGACAATATATAATATATTTAAATTGTAATATAAAGTGCTTGAGATCCTTCATTGAACCGTTAACTGGAGATTCATTCATGGAGGTCCCATTTCTTACGAAAACTGACCAGCAAGCAACCACCTCAATACATTTTAATTGCAAGCTTTCTACCCTAATTAATCTTGAAATTAATGTACATTAGTATATAAAATGATTTAAAGATAAATCTTTATATTCCAGCGAAAATATTGTTTAGCGAAGCAAAGAATACATTTTGCTTTTTTAAGGGTTTGTACCATTTCTATAACGCTCTCTGTAAAATATTGTTACGAAAATTCCAAACCCAGTTAATCCCAGCTAAAAAATTTTCCCTAGTACTATATTCTCTAAAGAAGGAAAAACCAAGTGCACATTCGCAGGCGTGTCATGCAGCAGCAGGCCGACGAAAACGATTAGCGGGAAAATCAGTTAGGGATTAAATGTAAAATCTATGAATTTGGGTATGGTAACGTGCTTGTAAAAATGTATATAAATAGAATATTTGTGGAAGGGAGAGCTAGTCGGTCAAGAACATAGAAATTGAGAGTACGGCCAATATAAATTGTGATTAATCCTACATTTTTATTTATTTATTTATTTATTCCACTTATAGAAACGCAACTAAAACAAAATGGCAGTCGAGTTCAATTAACTCTTAAAGTAAATCTTAAATTAACTAATATTAAATACAATAAAACAAATAAGAAGGAAAAAAAAAAGAAAAAAAAAGCACGTACACAACTAGCATAGAGCCACACCCACAAGCGGTACAGAACCAAATTGCAAGTGAACCCCTAAGCCATCGCAAACATGCATAAGCTTGGCAACCGATAATAGTTAACAACAATTAATTTTCGGCTCATAATGACTTTTTAAGGTTAAAAGTTAGTTCAAGTACGACATAGGTAAATTGCGCGTATTAAGCAATGTTGCTTTAATGGACTTTAAAGAGTCCGTTAATGAGAATAAGTGATAGACGTCATTTAGGTTCTTGCAAACAACTCTGAGTGGGTTAAACAGTTCGCAATTATATTTGCATTGACTAAGCTTTATCAAGATAAAGTGCCTAGACAAGCGGTTAGGTGTCTAAAGCCTATGCGGGCGAGTCAATTGTACCATTTATTAATTTGATTACGAAGGAAACCCAAAGTACAAATTTACGTTTCTCCAGTGACGGTAAAGATAACAGAAACAACCTATTTTCATAGGGTGGAAGGGGGGCAATCCGCTCCCAATCCAAATTCCTAAGGGCAAACAGCTCGAATTGCTTTTGAACAGATTCAATAGAACCTACGTAGCACCTATATGTAGGAGACCACACAACAGAGGCATACTCAAGTATAGGTCTAACCAAACACATGTAAAGCCTTTTCGGAATATAAGGATCATCAAGCTCTTTGGGCCACGTCTTTATAAAACTAAGCGCAGACCTAGCTTTGCTTAACGAGCGATAAATATGCAAATTGAAACGTAACCTGTAATCAAATAGAACGCATAAATCGGTGAACGAATCAACGTCTTCGAACTGGTGCGAATCAATGAAATACTGAGTAATGAACGACTTCCTTCTTAAGATAGAAAGCTTCTTACATTTACTCAGATTTAGTTTCAGAAGATTCAAAGAGCACCATGCAACCAAATTATTCACATCACTTTGAAGATGGTGTGATTGCAATTCTACGGAAAAGGAAGAAAACAGTTTCACATTATCAGCATACATTAAGATCTCGCTGAATTTAATCACGGAGGGCAAATCATTGATGTACAAATTAAATTAAATGGTTCCTAAGTGGCAACCTTGAGGTACGCCAGACGTCACGGGGAATTCATCCGAGGTAATGAGGTTAAACAAAACCGTGAATGATCTACTATGCAGATAAGAGCTTAACCATTCTACTAAGAAGAAACGTAAGTCAGAGGCTTGGAGTTTAAACATAAGTAGTGTATGGTTAACCAAGTCAAACGCTTTGCTAAAGTCAGTGTATATGACATCAGTGCGAGAGCCACTAGAAAAAGCCTTGAAAACTTGAGAAGTAAACTCTAACAGATTGGTGATCGTAGATCTTCCCTTTCGAAAACCATGTTGGAGAGGAGAAATATACGGTTTAATGGAAAAGGCTATATGCTGAGCCACAATTCGCTCGAACAGTTTAGGCAAGACACTCAACTTGGCAATGCCTCTGTAGTTCTCTACAAGTTGCCTACTATTACTTTTGTGAATAGGAATAAGGAAACAAGTCTTCCAACACAAAGGGAAAACACCTAAATTTAAGCACTTGTTCAAAATCTTTGAGATAACACCACATAGCTCGCCAGCACAAGATATAAGTACACATGGGGTCCATCACATCCAGGCGAACAATTATATCTTAGAGAGCTCAATCCTTCAAAAACGTCATTTTCAGATATAACAAAGTTAGGAATTGAAATCAAATTAGAAATCGGATATGGATAGTTTGCTGATAAATCAAAATTGGCAGTTGAAAAGTTTTGTCGGAAGTATTTCGCAAAGAGACTTGAGGTCTCAAAATCGTCCGAGGAGTCGGAGCCATTAAAAGACACATGCGAGGGATTTATGGAGATTTTTCCTTTGGAATTAACGAATTTAAAAAAGTATTTAGGATTAGCAAACAAGCAGCATTTAACAAACTGTAGGTATCTCCAATAGTATTGGCGGTTGAGGGAATTAAATTCATACCTTGCCACTGAGTAAGTGATATAGTCGAAAGAAAAGCCACTTTTCGAAAATTTTTTGAAAAGCTTGTTTTTCCTATTCTTGTAATGTTTAATTGGTTTATTAAACCACGGGGGACACTTGCTTTGAGGACGGGAATGCTTGATCGGAACGGATGCAGAAATAGCTTTATTTAATATATTGTAGAACGACGACAGTAAGCTATCAATACTTCCCACTGAGACATCAAGTACAATATGAGAAAGATGTGATTTTGGCATTGAAACATTGATTTTATGGAAATCATAAAATTTATATGAAAAATTTGAATTTGGAACGTTATAGAAGTTCAACGAACCAACATGCTTGTAATGAAAGGAAATATCCAATGCTGGATGATATGGATCCTCAGGTAAACTAAACGGAAGACAACGATTAACGCAAATGTCGGGAAAATTGGCATAGTAAAGATCAAGCAATCTACCATTGCAATTAGGGATACCATTGTATTGAACTAAATTATGATCAAATAATTCATTAAAGAGAGAAATAGTAACTTTAATAAAAATTATTTTTGATATGTTCTATATCAGCTGCTTTTTGAAAATTATGCCAAAACAGTAGATTTTATGAGGAAACTATAAATTAAAACATATGCTTTCTGAACTAAAAATAAAGATATAACGAACATATAAATAAATAAATTTTGTTGTTTGTTTTTCATTTTTTACAAAGTAATGCGTGATATAAATTAGATTTGCGAATCGCATAACATAACAAAAATGTAGATTAGTGTAAGATACATATAAATTAAATAAATAACTTTAAAATTTAAAAGAAATACACATCGCTTCTTCTTGTGTTTTCTTTCTTTCGGTTTCATATGTACGTTATATGCAAAAACATATGATTTGTCAGTCTGCACTTTATGGGATGACTCAAAGGATGACGCGTAATAAATTGCATATTTTTAAATTTAAATGAACGCAAAAAATACCCTTCTTGTGGGAAACCTATACCTGCGCTTTCCTTATTCAGTAGCACCCCCGGCCCTTACTGCATTTTGTCCAAACGAACAGAACCGCTGCGCTTCCTTACCCTTCCTCCAGTAAGCAGCTTCTTCAGTGGTAGCAACAGCACACGGTGTGGTTATAAGCAGTGGTTTTATCAAAATTTTTAAAACACCCTTCAGCTTTTCTTTTACAACTATTCTTTGGTTAAACCGAGTTTTCACACGTTTGCTCGAGAATCAATCCATTAGGAATGCTTCTCAAACGTTGTGAATGTGCCTAGTTTTTATATTGAGTAAGTTAGCTACTTTGGAATGTTTCACTTCTTCATATCTTGATTCATTTCATGGGCAAATTCACTGATAGCTTTGTTTTCCGCTTTTCATACGTGCTTCTAGCAAACCGTTGTAATAAATCTGCAAATATTTTATTTTCACTGTTTGTTGGTTACAAATTTTGACAATCTTACAAAGCAACTTTTTCACATGTCTCAACATTAGGTGTTTAAAAATTCTTTCATTTCTCTAGTAGAACAAAATATATTATTTGTGTTTTTTTTGTTTCGGTTCTGATTCGTTTTGTTTCTCGTTCATGACTGAAAAACTTTAGTGTAACTTAGGTCGATTGCGAAAGTGACTCGGAATTGAACGTTATAATAAAAGGTGGGCAGGTCTCAAGATCTTCTGGGCATTGCATATATCCCTATAAACTTAATTTACCTTGTAGCACAGATGGCGTAGGGTATAATTGGGCGCTTAAAGCCTAACATTTCTAGAAAGATAGCTCGTGATATATTTGCCTTATGGTACTCCAGCCCCAAGTTGTTTGTAACACCTTATAATTATCTTTTAAGTCTTATCATCTTTTACCTTACTTTATAGCACGTTGTTGTTCTTTTTGTTTACGAATTAGTCCTTTCTGCCATGCACACATGTCACAGGCGTAGTTTTTTTAAGCGGACTCCTTTCAAGATGCCTCTGGTTCAGTCTACAATACATTCTGTGGAAAGAGTAAAAAAGGGTAAACATATATACATTTTTTTT